GAAATGAATAAAACCTGGATTCGGGAGAAAACTCGTATTTCTCTGTGATCAAATAAAAGATTTTTCGAATAAATGAAATTAATTTTTTTTTTAAATAAATTTTTCTCCATCGTGTATTTCACCAGCGAGACTCAGTTCGGAGTCAACGGGGACAAACTGCGACAGGAGCACAAGCTTTCGCATCTCAGGGCGACCCAAAAACATCACGCTTTTCTTTAAATAGCTGTTTTTTTTTTAATTTTTATCCACATCCCAGGGAAAGGGTCGCCCCTAGCAGAATTCGCTAGTACTGGTCACGATAGTAATTTTTTTCATACATTACATTATAAAATTCGTCTATGAGGATGAATTTTTCCAATATTTCTCTTTACACTAAACAGTTGTTTAAAATATTAGTTTTCGAAAAGAAGTTCCTTCGGAGGATATTTGATCTAGTTAAGGAGAATAATGATGAATGGAGAATTAGATGTGACCAAGAACTAGCTAACTTATACAAGAAGACGGACGTGGTGAAATATAGCCGGATAACAAGGCTGAGATGGGAGGACCAAGTTGTACGGATGGGCGAACCCCCAATCCCAAAGAAGCTGCTGGGCATGGAGCCGGGTGGAAAAGAAAAGTGGGCAGACCAAAACTGAGATAGAAAATGGAGTAAGTTCTGATGCTAGAATCCATGCAATCAGGAACTGGTGGAGGCTGCTCAGGACAGGGAAACATGGAGGAAAACTCTTGAGGCAGCCAAGATATAGTAATGGATTATCGAGCTCGGGGTGATGATATTGATCATATTAGAAAATTCGTCTCAGAGGATGATTATTTCCTATATTTTTTTTTCTTTAAATAGCTGTTTTTGGAATTTTTTTTCGGAATTATTCTTCTACTATACAGAGGGGAGCGCGCCCCTGGAAGAAATCACTAGTGCTTCTCACGATAACTTTTTTTATACCACATTACAAAATTCGTCTATGAGGATAGATTTTTCCTATATTTCTCGTTTCTTTAAATAGGTGCTTTTTGGAACTCCCTCCCCCTATTCAGAGGAGAGAGGGGGTGCCCCCAGGCAAGATCAGCTAGTACTGTTAACGATAATAATTTTTTTATATCCCGTTAGAAAATTCGACTTCGAGGATGAATTTTCTCTATATTTCTCTTTTCTTTAAATAGGTGTTTTTTGTAAACTTTTTTTCTACCAACCTAGGGAGGACGCGTCCTCTAGCAGAATTTGCTAGTGCTGGTCACGATAACAATTTTTTAAAATATTATATTAGAAAATTCTTGTATGAGGATGAATTTTCTCTATATTTCTCTTTTCTTTATATAAGTGTTCTTACAATTTTTTTTTCCAGCATCCAAGGGAGGACGCGCCTCATGGCAGAATCTTCAAGTGCTGCTCAGGATAATATTTGTTTTTTATACTACATTAGGAAATTCGTGTATGAGGATGAAGTTTCTCTATATTTCTCTTTTCTTTATATAATTGTTCTTCGGATATTTTTTTCAGCATCCAATGGGGAGGCGCATCTCCTGGCAGAATTTGCGAGTCTGGTCAGGACAATAATTTTTTTTTATATTACATTAGAAAATTCGTTTATGAGGATGAATTTTCTCTGTATTTCTCTTTTCTTTAAATAGGTGTTTTTTGGAAACTTTTTTTCAACCAACCTAGAGAGGACGCGTCCTCTGGCAGAATTTGCTAGTGCTGGTCACGATAACAATTTTTTTAAATATTATATTAGAAAATTCTTGTATGAGGATGAATTTTCTCTATATTTCTCTTTTCTTTATATAAGTGTTCTTACAAATTTTTTTTCCAGCATCCAAGGGAGGACGCGCCTCTTGGCAGAATCTTCAAGTGCTGCTCAGGATAATATCTGTTTTTTATACTACATTAGGAAATTCGTGTATGAGGATGAAGTTTCTCTATATTTCTCTTTTCTTTATATAATTGTTTTTCGGATATTTTTTTCAGCATCCAATGGAGGCGCATCTCCTGGCAGAATTTGCGAGTCTGGTCAGGACAATATTTTTTTTTTATATTACATTAGAAAATTCGTTTATGAGGATGAATTTTCTCTGTATTTCTCTTTTCTTTATATAGGTGTTTTTCGGATTTTTTTTCAGCATCTAAGGGAGGGCGCTATAACTATAATTTACATATATTCTGTAGTTCAGATTATATTATTTTTTATCAACATATAATAAACTGAACAAAACTACAGTTCGAACAATTTTTTATTTCTTAAAAAATCATTATTATAAGTCGCGTCTTATTGCATTTTATATTATTATTTAATTGTAATTATTGTTATTGCCAATTTGTAGCCAAAATATATATCCGACTTGTCCAGCTTTATATAAGCCCGATAAAAATTTGAGCCGGTTATTTCTTATATTTTCGTTATGCATTGCATTGTGCTTCCTTTTCTATTTCATAATCTATATATATATAAATGAATGTATGTCTGTCTGTCCGTCCGTTTGTCCTTATTGCATTACTAAACCATTCAACCGATCGCCATAAACTTTGGGAAGTTGTTCCGTACACTCCTGGGAAGGTTTCTGGCTTAGTACTTCTGTCTTACGATAATTTTATATATGTAAAAAAAATAAAAATGTAAATGTTTTTCTGTTCAAAGCCGCAAAAAAATTGTCGCTATAAACTGTAGCGCCAAAACGGCTTTACCGATTTTAACGAAACTTGGCTAAAGTCTTCCCCTTGAAATCCTTTTAATTTATGTGTATAACATACTTTTCCGAAAACAAGCTGAAAAATGTTACGATGAATTCAATATTTTATTTGGGGATAACTAAAAAAGTACACAATTTTTGACTGATAATACCCACATTTATTTCAAAGATTTCTGAATAAAATAAACAAAATAAAAAAAAATCATCGAAATCGGACGGTTCGTTGCAGAGTTATTGAGTTTTAAACATTTACTGCTTTCTCTTCAGAAAAGGCCGTTTCCTTTTGCTTCCTCACTACCTAACGTCGGCAAGCATTTTTTATTTATTTTTATTGATTAATCGAAAATTATATAATTACTACAGTAATTGAAATTATCATTTGAAGAAGTTATATGATTCTCATTATGTAGGTCAATACTATTATACATTTTTTTAAATTAATTTTTTAATTTAGTTTTATAAGTTCAACTCAGACTGTTTCTGATGATTATGAATGACGGCGTATTCACTCAGATGATTATGAATGTTCAATTTGAATCATGATAGAAAAAAAATCATTACAATTAGTTTAAATTGAAGCCATTTTACAGACAAATTTGTTTCCCAAATTTTTAAAAATGACAGATGTCCTTTGCTACTAATCTACTCATATGTGCTTTCTATTTTCTTCCCTTTTCATTTTGCCAGGCTAAGCCACAGCAGCGCGTTTCCGGGTAAAGCTAGTTATTATATATAATATAATAATTAATATATTGTATCCAAGGGAAGATGTCTAGATCGAAAAATAACTGCTGTCACCTAGGTAAAATCAAACTACCATATGCAGATGAATACCATTTTCCATACAGATTTTTCGTCTAAACTCTTTATTTTGTATTAGGAGAGTAGAAGGTTACAGGAGCTCAATTCTGTAACGAAGATGCCATGGTGTAAATCTGTATTCTGTAATAGGAGAATAGGAGGTCACAGGAGCTCATCACATACTTAATTAAATGAAAAGCTATATAATCAGTACTAATTATAGAGCTAATAGGAGAGCTCCTGTAATCTCCTACACTCCTAATAACAAAAAAAAAAAAAAAAAAAAAACCTGTACCACTACAATCCATGAAGGGTCTTGGGTGCAGTACTATTTAGCACTGTTTATAGGTCAACGGTTATGCAAGGGGGTGGATTTGGCCGAGATCACGCTCAACAAGCGCTAGGTTTCCCCTCTTAATCAATTATTTAATTAAGGGTACCCACTTTATAGAGGATGGGTGTGCCCAAGGAGGGGTCTCCCGACCCAGGGTCGCCCCAAGGCCAATGAAACAGATAAATAAATTTTCTGCCACCATGAGCCGGGTTTCGAAGCTGGGACCTTTAGCATTGGAAGCTCGGTACTCTACCACTGAGCTACCCCACTCTCCTAATACTAAAATAAAATATGAAAGTCACTAACATCTGTTTTATATAATAGAGATATGACTATATTTAGTAACTATAAATGCATTATAATTAAAGAAATGCTTCCTTCATTTTGAAGGGCTTCACTCCGAAAACCTCTCTCCCGTGTACGAGCCTTTAGTCTTTTGCTAAGCTGTAAAATTATGCTTCCTCCATTAAAAAAAATCTATCCTTCCGGTTACACCCTGGGGGCTCTTAAGGAGCCATTTATTATTTGGAGCCGTACGCTGTTGCGTAGTCTTCTCACCTCATTAACCACATCTGTTTTTGTTTATCAATAAGTGGTTATGGTGAAGAAGCAGAACATTATTTTTATAAATATAATATTATGGTCTACAAACCTGCTGATTGTTTATAATCAGTTCGATAATTTTTGTAATTAGCATTAAAGAAGCAAATAAAAAGTGACGAATGAATGAAATAATTAAAACATTTTTCTCTATAAAATATATGAAAAAGGCTGAAAATTATATATTACTTACTTAATACAACAAATATTGAATGAAATGAAAGAGGTAATTAATTAATTGAATGACTTAAATTAATACACGAATGCAGAAAAATTTCAAAAATCGAATAAAGTTTGATTTTAATTGATTCTAAATAAAAAATCACTACAACTTTTAACTGATTGAGGAACTAAAGTTGTTTTATAGAATAGAAACCAGAAAGATTTAATTGTAATTTTGTGAAATAAAACCATAATTCTAAATATATGAAAATAATTATTTTTTTGTGTTTTATTGCAAATGAAAAAAAAGAAAGTAATCATGAGTATTTGGATAAGTGGGCGTGAGGCAAAACAATCACGATAAAGATAAAATCCCGAAACACCGCAACTTGGTTAACCAGCGAAGAACCTTCGTATTTCATTCTGACATCTTTCAAGTGACTTCAGTAGCCTGTGATATCCTAAAATGCTAAATGTAATTAGCTATATTTTATAAACTTGTTAGACATTGGTGTTGTAATACAGATGGATATTATAACTACGAGTCTGGAAGCCTTGATACGTAATATTTTCAGATTAAAACTTTCTTATTATATAAATAAAATTAGATGTTAGTAATAATAAAATTCAAAACTATGGTTAATTAAAATACATTGTTATTTGGGTTTCTAGAAAGAGCTACAAATGTTAATAATCAAGGTCTTGACAAAGCAGCAATTGATGCCTTTTGTGGACTTATAAATAAAGAACCAGAAAGTGCTCAAATAGCTGCTAAATTTATTACTGCAAAAGTTCACAGTCTTCAAGAATGGGAAGCTTTACAAGCTCTAATTGTATGTTTTGATTTGTTTATTTTGTACCACTATTTTAAATATCTTTTTTAAATATCATATCATCAGATTTTTAAATACTTTTAGGTTTTAGAAACATGTATGAAGCGTTGTGGAAGTGTATTTCATTCAGAAGTTGGAAAGTTTAGATTCTTAAATGAGCTCATCAAATTGGTTTCTCCTAAATTTATGGGAGCACACACACCAGCAATAGTTCGACGTAGAGTTTTGGAATTAATGTACTCATGGACAGTTCAGTATCCTAGAGAGGCTAAAATCAAAGAAGCCTATGATATGCTCAAAAAACAAGGGGTTGTTAAAGTATGTATATGATTTGTTATTTTATTTATGTATAAAGGAACTGGTCTGGAAGTCAGTCAGAAATAAATTCTAATACTGATAATTATTTATTCATTTTCCTAAATATATATATTTACCACTATTAGAAGTAATTTCTGGCTGACTTCTGAACAACGTCTTGTATTACCATATGGTCAAGAATCAATACATAATACTATATTTTATTTAATATTGTAGGGTTGATAAAAATATCAATTTTTTTAGTTTTTCAATGTTACTTCAAAATTTATATTTATTAGACCCTGTGGTCCTACAAGAACCTGGGCCTCTCTTATAATTCCTCTCCACTCCTCTATCTCGGGTGAATATTCTCCATCCCCGGATTCCCATCCTTTTCAGAATGTCCTCCACCTCGTCCAGCCATCTCAGGTTTGGTCTTCTTCTGGTCTCGTCTTCCACCAGGTCGATCCTCTAGCAGGCATTTGGAAATATTATCTCAGGGGATACACACCATGAGGCCCAACCATCTGATTTGTTTTACTCCTCACATTTGAGACCAAATCCTTTTCAAAATTAAACTTACGCAATGGGTTATGCTGTGATTTTAATGGGTATATGATAATATTATACATCAGCAACTTGACTTTTATTTACATTTTTTTCTGAAATAGTATAATTATTTAATAATTTTATTTTATCCAAGATAAAACCTGGTATCTATCTACACATTGGCTCTACAGTCGCTGTAGGGTTTTGGCTTCTGATATTATCCTTATCCACACTTCCACTCATTTTTCAAGGGAGTAGATCCTGTATGTTCGCAGTATATGCTCCGCATTCGGTTCCCGCTGATTGGCCTAGTTGTTTGTTTAGCTGATGAATTTGTTCTATTTCTCATCTAGCTGATGAAATTAGATATTTTATTGCTTTTTACTTTTCTGATAAACAAGAGTATATACTAATATTAAAAGACACGTTGAGTATGCTTATTCTTAAGTTAATCAATTTTTGAACTATCAAACTTTTTTTTAAGAATGTCTTAGAAGCTCATGGTGATTCTCCATATTCCTACACTTGATGCCTTTTGGTATGAAATAAAACTTCTGGTGTACTCTCATTATACTTTACTAACTCCTTTAGGTGCGGAGTTCAATTTATAAATTATTTGCTGTATCCTCACAAATATTGGTCCTGTTACATTTTAAAAATGTTTTCTTTTCAATTTCTTATTTATTTCAAAGTTTGACTTTAATTATGTTTCAAATGACACATGCAATGTGTCAGGAAAATGTTTGGATTCAAATTATTTCAGAAAGTAAAAAGAACAATGATCAAGTTGCCATGAAAACATGTGCTGAATATTTGACCTGTCAAAAACATGGATTTAACCCTATCCAGGCCACTGTGTCCAAATGGATACTTAGAATTTTTTTTTTTTAATTTCTCTTCGATTATTGAGTAGTTATAAAAAAGACCCACATCTTTGGTAATACTGGTATAGTTTAGATCTTATCACATGGAAGCCATCAATATAGACAGATGAATGGCGCTGAAAATACATTTTTTGGGCTCTGAGAGCTCTGAAATATGACGAAATGTTGAAAACTGTACATAGGAAATTTGATCCAGTGACTATATTTCCCTAACTTGATCGCATTAGGAAAGTAATAAAGCGTGTAAAAAGTCAATTGTACTTTTTTTTTTATATCTAATAATAATACTAATAAATAAATACCTAATAATAGTTCTATTTAAATGGATTTTTTTTTTTTTTTTTGTCGGGGGTTATTAATTTTCAAAGGATTATATGATCAATATAAATGGATGTATCAAATGATTTACCATTAGATGTATGGTTTTTGAGATGTACCTAAAACATTTTTTTTTTTCATTTTCTTGATATGTACGACTTACATAAAAATTTTAAAGGGATCAAAGGCAAAGAGTTTGGGAAAGTTACATCAAAATCTTTAAAGCCGTTATGGTGATAAAGTCTATTGAAATACATTTTGACTGTTCCGATATGGTAATTAGAAATCAGTTGCAAAATCCTGAAACAAAACATAAATTGATTGCTCTCAAGAGACTATCACGGTGTAAACAGACACAGACTAATGGCTAAGAAGCATTTTTTTGGAATCAGGTTCTGAAATCCATAAAGAGGTTTAAAACTGCCTATCGAAATTTGACCTGATTACACTTCCCTTATCTAGTAACAGTAGGAAAGTAAAATTAATGAACAAATTCATTGCTCTACTTTTTATCTAAATTGTATAATTTTTTTCTTGTTTTACTTCCATAAGAACTATATTATCATATTGCAGATTTTGCTCCATTTTAATTTATAATTTAATGATAGAATCTTTTCTTCTTTTATATTATATTTTTCTTGCTTTTAACTTATTTTTTACTTTAAAAGCTTATTTTCTATAATTATATATTTTATTGTAGATTTACAATTTATTTCTTTTGCATAACTACTATTTGCTATTTCTTTTTACTTATTTTCTAACAAAGCTGATTTATTAGGAAGAGCCTGCTACATTAATTCAAGAGAAGCCATACAAAGAACAGCCGTCAATTTTGCAGGATGAAGAGAAATCTCAACTACTCCAGAAGTTACTGCAAAGTAAAAACCCAGATGATCTCCAAGCTGCAAATAGGCTTATCAAGTCAATGGTCAAGGAGGTGTGACTCTTCATTTTGTTATCTAACTTTTTATTTATTTACCATGTAATTTTTCACAAGTTAGTTAAACGATTTCTTGATTGTTATAACTATTAAAGATGAAAAATATATCAATTTTCATTCAAGCCCTGTTAGAGAACATCAATCAAAATAAAACTTACATTTTATTTATTACTGCTTAATTTTACACTTATATAATGAATTTAATCAAAATCATTATGTCCGTTTTGAGAAAATTGTAAAAATGTGTTAAGATAATAAAGAAAATAAAAGTTGCTGTAACATCCCAAGCATATAAAAACCTTAAATATGCAATTTCACCTTCGTAAGACTTTTCGTTTTTGAGTTAGATTGTTAAAACACACACACACACACACAGACCAATTTGTGGGACCAAACTCAAAACTTTAATTTATTCAAAAATGTTGTCAGGGTCATGCTTTTTAAAATGAAAAAAGCGCAAAATATATCTCACTTATAATGATGTATGCAATATCATGATAAATGGAATTTTTTTTTTTGACTGACCACCCCAACTATTCTTCTCTTCATTATCCACAACAGTCAACCATTTACCAATTAGGAATTTTTTTTTGTTCCTGTAGGATGAAAAAAGGGTAGAAGAAAAGTGGCGTCACGCGGCTGAATTGGAAACAGCAATAAATAACTGCCGTCTCCTCCGCGAAATGTTGGAAAATTGGGATCCTGCTACAAGCAGCAAAGAGGATTTAGATCTGATTAAAGAGTTGCATTCAGCTTGCCTTGGTCTGAGTCCAGTATTGTATAGGCTTGCGGGTTCATCTTCGGATCCAGCTTTCTGTCGTTAGTATACTCTTAAACTGTTATTACTGTCTTCATTTAATTTACAGTTTTAATATAAAAAAGTTTATAAACCTGAAGTTATAAATATTACAATTTACGTATTCCTTCTTTATTTATAAAATTGTCTGCATTTACATTTGTTTCAATTTTTGTAACTAGAAAGTGTGATAGCAGCTAATGAAGAGCTTGGTGAGGTTTTTACTAAATACAATAATATTATGAAAGGATCTAGTTCTAATAGTTCTAATGATGCATCATCACTCCTTGACCTTACACCATCAGTATCGAAACCTGCTGTTGATGATGCTACAAATCGCCTAACTGACATAGGTAGTTATTTATAGAAAATGTCTTATATATAATTTTCTTACTTTTTTATTATTTATAAAAATTTAATTGGTTACTTAAATCAATATATATATATATATATATATATATATATATATATATATATATATATATATAAATATGTATATATTTTTATTTTTTATTTTTCAGGGTTGGATCTCTCAGTAAGAGCTAAATCTCCTGTGACAGCTAATGGTGATTCCAGTTCTCTGTCAAGTCAAAATAACCTTCTGGATGACATTTTTGGGTCTCCGCCACCTATTTCGTCCAATGTTCTAGTCCTCCCTTCTTTAGCGAAATCAAATACACGTAATTATTATTTGTGATAGGTTATTTTCATTAGTCTTAATTCATGTAATTGTATGTAATTCGTGTTTTTATTTTGTTTCTTTTTTTATTTAAATGTAAAAATGCTGCCACTGCTTAGAGTTTGCTTAGTCACATTTTATAATCTAATTTAATTTTTCTATGAAATGAAAATAGAAATGGTTATGTTATCTGAAATTTCCTTACTCTCATAATAAAATATTTATCATATAGCAGTATTATTATTACAAATAAACTGCTCATTATGGTCAGCTGATTTGATTTATACTAAGACTAATGCATGGATCAGGAAATTATGAGTATGAAACTCTACTGTTCACAAATTTTTTTTTCAACCTCTATGATATACATAAACAATATAACAGAAGAATTTATTTTATTTTTTAGTTTATCTTTGAAGAAATTATGATTACTTTATCTATTAATTCTCATTGTTACAGCTTCTTTTCCCATTGAGAAAGAAAACACTAAATCAAAAGGATTGCAAGATCTTGATTTGTTGGGCAAATCTCTCCTCCAGGAAAGTTTATCTTCAATCACAAAAAATACACAAAACAAGTATGTTAAAGTGTGTTACTATCATTTTTCCATAGCCGCCTTCTGCACACTCTGAAATTCATTTATTTCTCTAAATTTTTCAAAGCATGGACTCTAAAGTTGCAAGTTTTATCTATCTAGCTTCCTCATTTGGATGTATATAAATAATTATAGTTACTAAATCTTATCCTACACTTCATTTAACCCCTGATTGTGTATGACTTAGATGTACCTTTCTGTTTTCCCCTCTGAATTCCATCTCACTGTTTACAAGTTGCAAGATGAATGTATTACAATTAGGGCTATGCTGTTAACATTTACTTTCTCTAAATCCTGGCTCATCAATCTGTTTTGCTGAACCGAGCTGGATTTGTTTCGTTCCTGTTCATTCTTTTCTGATATAAAATCTATTCTATTCTTTCATTAAGTAGTATTTCTTTCACCATTAAATTATTTCATGGAAAGATCAAAGTTTCTTTCTGATTTCCATCATTCAATATTTCTATATTTTCTACCATCCATCTCCCACCAACTTATGTTTTTCACTTTCATTATGGCTGCCTAGTTTAAAATGGTATCTATAGTGGACTAGTGGTTATTTGTATAACAGTGACTGAATTATTTCCTTTGATTTATCTCAAAGATTACCAGAATTGTACTCATTTATTCGATTATCCCATCTGATCTTTGTTATAAATTTTTCAACTCTTTCAAATAATATATCTTTTTCCAATATCCACTATACCCTTCTGTTTAAAATGTTCTTTATTATAAATAACATTTTGATAGATCATTTATTAACTATGATATATCCTTGTGTAAGTTCTGTTATCAAAAATACTGCTTTTAATCATTTAGATCCGATATCTTCACTCATGTTCTATTTCTCCAAATCTTTTACTGCCACTTATTGTAAATATTAAGCAAAATATAGTCACTATAAAATCAAAATATCTCAATTTTCAACAAAACATAACATTTTATTTAGAATTATTGCTGAATCTGATAATAATACTCATCTATTAAAGTTCAAATTAATTTAACCAAAAAAAAACTATTTTACACATTGAGATATATCTTGATGGTTCTATAGTGACAATATCCTTCAGTCATTACAAAATTTATGATGTCATAAATTTAGTTGTTTCAACAATTACTCATCACCTGAGAAAGTGAAGTGCACCTCCAGGTTGACTCTATTTTAATAGAATAATAATATAAATTAATAGGCTTCAAGAAATAAACATATAAAAATAAAGAAAGAAAATGCATATAAGGTATAAAAAATTCAATTAAGATTTTCTACATTATTAACTAATTAATCTATATAACTAATGAGTTTGTGTTTTGAAGTCCTTTTCACATGAATCGTTTTTGTTATTTTGCAGACCTGCTAAGGTTACCCTGAATGATATGAGTTTACTAACATTAGAGAGCAAGACTAACAATATGAGTATCAGTAGTGGAAGTAGTGATCTTTTGATTGAAAATGATCTTGAAATCTGTCCGCAACCTTTGCTTGTTGATAACGATCCTCCTCTCGTGATTAAGGATGAGGATAAGAAACCAGATACCACTTTAGCAAGCAATTCTGTGTCCAATGATCGTCTGAAATCGGATGTAGAAGTGCAAGTGCTACCTTTAGGGGATATTAATGTTACTTTGGACAATGTTAAACCTAGTGAGTATGAATTTTAAATAGTATTTGAGTTTATACTAATGCACACATAGATAAATAGACATATAGTGAGAGTATGCATTGTCAAGTAGTAGTAAACTAGTAAAGATGCAGTAGTTAGAAATCTATATTCCTTACATACATTCTTTTCTTTCAAATCTCTCTAAAAGGTGGAATACATTCACAATATTTTATTGCAGGGACCCAATCCTTGATCTAAATGGAAAATCCTTTAGAACCTATCTGTTGTTAGCTACAAAACCTGCATGCATTATCAAGGAGGTCCAAACAAACTTAATTCCTGTTTCGTTGACTCCTTTTCTTATATTTTCATCTGATGTTTCATTTTATCCCGTATTTAAAACTCGTTTTAACCTTAAACATTTTCATTTACTCAATGTTTTTCTTGTTGACCTATTCTCTACTGTCCTCAAATCCAGAACCAACAACTTTATTTTATTTTATTTATTTATTTTATTTTCCTCCCTACCCTGCCTTTAAGACAATACGGGAGTTTGCAGCAGTGACTTGATACACATTGTATAACAAATCACTGTTGCATGTTTATCTATTTACATTTTTAAATTGCTGTGCACACAGCCTGCTTGATAATTTTGTCACTTAGTTATTGTTCTCCATCTTCTTCTCCTGTCCTAGTTAGCGGCCTTCCAGGTACTGCTTCTTCACGCCTTCCCAGGGAGAAGTGGGTTGGGCCCACAGTTTTTTTCCAGCCGCATACGAAACTTTTAAAGTGCGGGTAGTTTTGTTCAGACATTAGTTGGGGTAATTGTCCTTCTGTAAGAACGAAAAGCCCTGTATCCCTCATTAATTTGGCCCTCAGTGCCTCATAGCTGGTGCAGGCTACAAGGATGTGCTCAGCGGTTTCAGGTACTCCACAAGTGGGGCATAAGGGATCGATATTTTTACCGTGTTTAAAAAGTTTTGCTCTGAAACCCCCATGCCCCGTGAGGATCTGTGAGACCCAGTAGTCCGGGAGGACCCATTTCTTTTCTAAGCGCGATTTAATGGTGGGAAAGAATTTTCTTAGAGTGGACCCGTTTGGGGTTGTCACCCATCGCCGATTCCATTGTTCCAATGTATCCTCCCGGAGGATCATCTTCCATCTTCTGGGGTCATCACAAATCCTCTCCCGAATGTTTGCTGGTAAATCCGCCAAGTCATCCCTCTTAATGTTGTACCGATAAAGGTCTTCCCGCAGAAGGAGGTCGAGAGGAATACCTCCTCCTAAGACCTGCACCGCCTCATGGGACACAGTTCTGTATGACCTGGTTACTCTAAGCAGGGCCATCCGCTGGATTGTTGCCAACTTGCGCTTCTGACGGTACGAGAGATTCCGGTTCCATGCGGGGGACGCGTATCTCAGGATACCAACAACTACTCCTTTATAAATGGACATAGTGGCTGGATATCTAAGGCCCCAAAAGGCCCCCCCTATGCGACTGAGACCATTAAGGGCTAAGGTTGTCCTATTCCTTAAGTAATCCAAGTGAGGCGTCACGTTGAATTTTTTCCCAATCCTAATTCCAAGATAGGTGACTACCTCACTTGGACATATTCTGGAACCTTGTATCACCAAGGTTATGGGGTGTGCCCTATCGGTCGAACCTCTCAAGAGGATGGCCTGAGTCTTGGAACCCGCCATCCTTAACTTCTTTTTCTCGCACCATTCTTCTACAAGGTTGGCACAACGTTCAGCTTCATATTTTAATCTGGCCCTGCTATTCGAGGCCACTACAACAGCCAGGTCATCTACATATGCAGTGGCGGGGAACCGCTCCTGTTCTAGCACTCCCAGCAACTCGTCAAAGACCAGTTTCCATAGGGCAGGGCCAAGGACAGAGCCCTGTGGACAGCCCCTTTCCACTGTATCTTCTACTTCATAGAAGCTACCTTTAATCTTCAATGTCCTATCGTGGAGATAGCTTCTGATCAAGCCATACAAGTTGCTGGGAGCTTCATGCCTTTGCAACTGCTGGAGTACGCTCGGCCACCAGACGCTATCGAAGGCGGATGATATGTCAAACAGGAGGAGCATAACATACTTCTCCGCCTTCTCTTCGACATCACAGCGCATTCTCAGCAGGGCATCTGCGGTTCCCCTGCCTTTAGAGGATCCGTACTGCCGTGGATGGCTCGCTCTCGAGAAGACTGGCCGTAGGCTGGTGAGTATCAGGTTTTCTAACACCTTGCTCATGACTGGGAGGAGACATGTAGGTCTATAAGATTTGGCTAATTGCTTATCTTTGTCTCCTCCTTTGTAAATGAGCTTGACGTTAGCGATTTTCCAGATTCTTGGGAAGTATTCCCTGTCTAGGCAATCATTATAAATAGCCAGCAATCTTTCCTCTAAATAGGGAATACTGTTCTTGAAAATTGACGCGTCAATGGTGTCTAAACCGGGGGCACGACCAATCTTTTGCTTGTCCACGGCAGTGCGAAGATCCCATATGTCCCATGGTGGGCACAGGTCCGTGCCGGGAGGGTATACCGTAGTGCGTCTTACGAACTCCTCCTCTTCATTATCTTGAGATGGATCATCCCTGGGGTAAGTCTCTGTAATAAACATCTTCGCCGATTCTTCTGGAGTTTTTGCCTGAGTACCGTCATACTTTATCGCTGCGATTACTTGCATTGGAGTCAATTTACCCAAGGCTACTTTGTACGGGATACCCCAGGGGTTTTTAGATGATTCCTCAACGATGAATTCATCCCAAGACCTACGTTTATGTAGACGCACCTCGTTTCGGTATACCCTGGCTTTAGACCTGTACTCGTCACGAAGAGTAGTGCGCCTCTCATCGCAACTACACCGCTGGTACGAACGCCGGGCCTTGTAGAGCTCTCTCTTCATGGTGGTTAAAGCCGGCGTCCACCATGGGACATGTTTAGCTCTCGCCTTCCGGTGCTGGAGAGAGTCCTCAGCGGCATCACGGATGATGTCAGTGATTCTCGAAACCCTGTAATCCAGGTCATCAGTGTAATCCGTTTCCGCCACATCCCAGTCATCGTCGACTAGTTTTTCTTCCAGCGTTGACCGGAAGGCATTCCAATCTCCTTTCCGAGTTCCGAGTACAGTAATCGAAGTTGGAAAAAATAAGAAAGGATACTAGGAGCTGCCGAGGTATTTTGAAGAGTAGTCACAGACCCTTAGTTATTATTAAAGGACAGTTATGGATTTTCATGTGATTTGGGATATATAGTTATTCCAGGAGAGGTACTGAACAAAACTTACAGATTTTTTGCAGTCAAATGAAAATGAATGGGTAGATTATGAAGGTGGAGAAGGAGATAGTAAGGGTAAGGAGATAGTAATTAGATCCAGGCCACAAATATAGGAAGCATGAAATAACAAGCGAAAATGGAATCAGACTGATTGATTTTGCAACAGCTAGGGGGCTTAAAATAAGCAGTACATGTTTCCCACACAAAGAAATTTGGATGTCGCCAGATGGAAACACTAGAAATCAAATCGATCATGTCTTAATAGATGAAAGAAACACATCACACATATTAGACGTCCGTAGTTTTAGATGGGCGAACTGTAACACGGATCATTTCTTGCTAGGAACTAAATACAAACAGAGGATACCTAACGAGTGCAAAAACAGAGGAGAAACAAGGAGAATGTTAAACGTGGATGGCCTAAAGAATGAGAGAATAAATCTGTTTAAAATAAGGTCACTCAAAGATTAGATGAAAGCAATATAGAAGAGCATACAGTTGAAGAGCGAAGGCGGAGAATAAGGACAGTGTTGAATGAGGTTGCTGTAGAAGTGCTAGGATATACAAAGAGGAAAGAAAGAAATGCATGGTTTGATGAAAAATGTATTCTAGCAATTGGAGAGAGGAATGACGCAAGAGTCAAATATTTGAAGAGGACTAGAGCGATAAAGGAAAATTATGTAATACAAAGAAATTTGTCGAAAGAAAAAGAGAACTTGGAAAACCAAAATCATAAAAGATATGCAAGAGCAGTATGCAGCAAAAGAAACTAGGAAATTTTACAAAGGAGTAAGAAATGCAAGGATTGGTTTTGAACCGCACCTAGACTACTGTAAAGATAAAACGAGAAACTTGCTGGGCTTGAGGAAAGATACATTAAATAGATGGACGGAATACTTTTCTGAATTATTAAATCAAGGAAACATTGAACTGAGTAATGAAGAAAGAACACATAGAAATAGAGAAAATATATGTGAGGAAGAGGAAATACCACTGGAAAAAGAAGAAATAGAGGAAATAATTATGTCTTTAAAGAACAACAAATCACTAGATGTGGATGAAATACCAGCAGAGCTACTAAAGAAAGGACGAAGAATTAACTAAGCAGCTCTACAACCTCATATTTATGATCTGGGTGTAGGAAACCATACCTGAGGAATAGAACACAGCAGTTCTATGTCCTATTTTTAAAAAAAGGGACAAGTTGAACCGCGATAATTACAGAGAAATAGCACTACTCCCAACTCGGAGTACTCGGTAAGCGGTCTAGATATTTTTCTCTACCTGTTTCTTAGAACCAGAAAACCTTCCCACATCCTTGAACTCCTCTCTCTACATTCTGATATTCATTTTTTTAACACCAAATCTCAACCTATTGATTTGTATATTCTCTCCTATAAAACTACTTTTTTCAGCAAATTTTTCATCATTCATGCTACCTTCTTCTGGAATACTTTACCCAACTCCATTCATCAATCCTCATATTCCATTAAACAAAATTTATTCCTTCGCCTATTTCATAATCAAACTATTTGCACTTATGTAAGCAATATTGATTTCTGTTTAAATTATTACTTAATAATTTTCAAGTTAACATTAAGACAGGCAATGTACCTAAAATCAGAAGATTTTTATTATTCTTAGGGAGATTTTGTTTTTCCAGAAGAAAGAAATCTACAAAGGAGAATGAGAGGCTTGGAAAACTGGAAGACCATTAGAAGAAAATCAACAAAAGAAAAGAATCAAGGAAATTTTATAAAGGAGTAAAACAGTTCCAGAATGATTTTTCTCCAAGATCCAACTCTGTAAGAGAAGAGCAGGGTAACCTACTTCAAGACAAAGAGGAAGTTCTAGGTATTTGGCAGAAGTACTTTGTGGAAGTATTAAGAGTGGAAGAAAAGACCCACCATTCAATAGGCACAAGGGACCATTTAGAGGAGGAACTGAAATAATAAGACACCAGGAAGGGATGGTACAATGCTTAAGTATGCAGGAGAGTACATCTGGGAGGAGGTGGACTAGATTATGTTTGGACTTCCGAAAAGATGCCAGAAGATTGGTCTGAAGCTCTAGTCTGTCTGATATACGAAAAGGGAATCCAGACAGAATGTAGAAATCATCTGGGAATAGTATACAAAGTTATCTCTATAGCAATCATTGAGATTAGTAATATGGGCTGAGAAAGTAGTTGGAGAATACTAGTGTGGTTTGAATCAGGTTGATTTACCACTGATCATATATTCTTAGTAAGGCAAATGCTGGAGAAATCAAATGAGTTTAATGTAAGTCTCTACAATGTATTCATCGATTTCAAGCAGGCCTGTGATACTATAGACCGGGAGAATATTTACAAATTCCTGCAATCTTTAGGGATCCTTAAAAAACTTATCAGGCTTATTGGCATAACACTTGTAAGGTAGACGGAGATGTTCCAAAGGATTCAAGGTGGGGAAAGGATTGCGTCAAAGTGACCCACTCTCACTTTAGCTCTTCAACCTTGCATTAGAATCCGCCATTCAAAAAATAGGAACAAATCTGGGTGGTACCATTTTCAACCACCTCACACATTTGGCTTTTGCGGATGATGTTGTAATTTCAGCAAGAATATTTCATGCTTTAACAGGTGCCTTGGAAGAGTTCCAAAAAGTTGCAAGGGTACTTTGACTTAAGATTACTGTCCAGAAAACTGTATATACAGATGGCAAAAAAGTACACTGAAGAGTTGACCATTCAATTGGGAGAGTACAAAATAAAATCTAGTTAGCTTTTTTGATAATTTGACAGAAGCCGATATAAAAGCCAGAATCTGTGCTGGAAACCGCTGCCTATGGGGTTTGTAGAAGACCCTTAAGTTCAAGAAGCTCTCAAGAAAGTTATGTTATATCCTAATCTATAAGATCATAATGGAAGCGAATCAAAGATCTTAACCGCAGACAACAAGAGAGTTTTGAAAGTTTGAGAAAGAAAAGTTCTTTGTCAAATATTCGGTTCAGTGAAAGTGGGAGATGCCTGGTGAATCAGACTTAATATGGAGTTGCAGGAGCTGTTTGGAGTGGGAGACGTCTTCTCTTATATCCAGGTGGGCCGATTAAGGTGGCTGAGACATTTGGAAAGAATGGACTCAGGCAGAACCCCTAAAATACTGCTCTACAAGAAGCCAGGTGGACGAAAGCGGAGGAAGCCTCGACTGCGATGACTGGGTGATGTTGAAGCAGACCTGAAGACTTTCGGTGTTCATTGCTGGAAAATATTGGCCACGGACTGAGCCGAATGGAGCTAGCTGTTAATGAGGTTCAAGGTGCTATATGGGCTGTAGAGCCAACATGTGAGTGTGAGTGAATGAGACTTCGTTCCAGAATAATTTTTTTTTCCTTTCCACTATTCGGTCAAAGATCCTATCTAAGGCCAAACATAATAATAATATATTACCAACTATTTGTGCTTGGATAAATGGATTTCTAATTAGTAGTTTTTTTCTTTTTGTGGATTAATAATTTATTTTCTTGTTATAGGTGCCATTCCTCCATTCACTGCCCTTGAAGAGAGAAATGGTGTCAGTGTTGCGATCTTTTTAGGGAAAAATAGACCGAGAGATGATGTTTCTATTTATGTGGTTACAACTAGTAGCAAAAATGAATCTCCATTAACCAACTACTTATTTCAACCAGTTGTACCTAAAGTAGGTCTTTTTTTTCTTGTATAATTAATTATTAATCTTTATTTGAACATTTTCTCCAAAATGAATACTTTTCAGTTAGCTTTATTAATTCATATTTTAAAATTAATTATTTAACTGCATTCATTATGTTGGTGCATTTTCATTAAGCTTTTGTAGAAATGTCTACAAAGAGGTGTAAATGTATGATTGAAAGAAATCTCTAATGTCGTATGCAAAAGTTATATATATATATATATATATATATATATATATATATATATATATATATGAGATATGAATAATGTTTTTATCTTTATATACTAATTCCCAAGTAAATTCAGTGTTGCAGGTTAAGGTTATTGCAGCCTTCTAGTACTACACTTCCTGCTCATAATCCATTTTTACCACCTTCTGCAATCACACAGATCATGTTAATAGCTTCTCCAAATAAGGTCTGTATTCTGTATTAATTGATTATCTATTTTGTATGATATGTTCAGGATAGCCCAGAAGGAGGTGGCCTGGTGGATGTTGCAGCTTAAAACATTTTGAGGAAGCTCATTTTTATGGAGTTATGAATTTTTTAAGGTGCACATTTTTGATGGGATAATGATAAATATATGAGGGATAATGAAAAATATGCATAATCACTATGTAAAATTAAGAGTATGTTAATAATAAATGTTAAATAATAACGTTAATAGAAAAGATAAGATATAAAATATTTCTTTATACTTCTGGTTTGTGTAAATATTATACTCTCTTATCCCGTTCTTATTCTTATCAATGATTCATTAATAATTGATATAGAAAATTAATCAAAATAAAGTTATGCGTGATTAATATTCAGGATGCCGTCATTATAAACTTTTTATTGGTGCCGACGTGTCAACCCAAACATGTGGGTCATCATCAGGGCGTGTTTCGAGCACTGAAGGTATTCAAGTACTCAAAATAAAGTTAACATAAATATATTGAATTAATTAAAATAAACGAAACATTACTGATGAGTGGGGGTTACAAATGATTTACATTAAGGTTAATGTGTTATTATTAGTATGGATTTATGGAATGATGCGCATTAAACCACCAAATAAACACTGGCTGATGGAATGATCAGATTGATAAATCAAATTTTTATTAGGTTTCAATTTGTGAAAAACCAACCCACAACCACTCATTCAAGAGATAAGAGAGAAAAAGCAAATGAAAATTCAGAAATTTTACCAATTTTCCATTGTTGCATATTTTTAACAGGGTAAAAATCTTTTGAATGGTGAAAAAACTGGTCATCCATTCATAAGATAAGAGAAGAAAAGCGAAAGGAAAAATGTTGACACTCTTATTTCTTTTGACTTACATACCTCTAAACAGTTGGAAAATTGTTTGTACGGTGAAAAACATATCATTCATATATATTTTTTTGAAGTTTTAAGAAACAAAAAAGCGAATTTTAACTGTTTTGTTTCTTTACTACTTGTAAATAATATTTTAATGAAAATTTCCTGTAAATGTCAGCCATTTAAGATATGATAAATGTTAATAAATTGAATATTTTTTTAAACTGCTTTAATTATTTTTTTTTTTAGATACCAATAAATCTCAAGTTTGTCATTAGCTATATAATGGATGAAGAAACATGCACTGAATTAGGAGAAATAAATGATCTTCCTCTGATAGAAAAATAATATAGAATTTAATATTTTATTTCCAATATTTTGGTCATTGTTTTCTTGATCAAAATATTCCTTTAATGTGTATATTTTAGACTGTTACTTTTAATTATTTGAAATATAATTGTAAATATCACTTTTGCTTTTGATTAGTTGTGTACTTAAATTAATTTTATTATTTGTTATTGATTTTTGTATTTTGTGATCGTTATTTAATAGTTGTTATTTTATTTTATTTCTTTAAGTATTTAAATAAAACAATAAGCCTTTTCACATATTTGTATTTATCAGCTGATCTGAAGAAGTGTAAAAAATCAAATATATATTTAATTAAACTGTTGTACATATTTTATATAATGAATTATACACAATATTAAATAAGGATATTTACTCCTATCCAATAGAACACACTTCAAGATAATTATTTTTTGGATATATTAATACATAGCTCCTGATCCAAAGGACTAATATGCCTGTTACAATATTATAACAATATTTTAAACAAAACTATTAGGCTGACTTGAAAAGCAATATTAAAATTGTAAATATAGTTCACAATCTATAAGTTGAGTAACTTAGAAATGCAACATAATAGTAGAAAATATACATCTGGTGTTCTATATGAAACCATCAATGTCACAGTTTTGAGTAAGAGACCGTGGAGACCTGAAGTCAGAAGGGTTGACAAAAAAAATTAGATATTACGGAACTATAAAAAGTGTATTGGAAAATAGTTCAAACAGCAAAGGAGGCTGAGCGGGCTAATGCATATCCTCACAACCATATGAGAAACCGAAGTTTACAATATATGAAGTTATAAGGATTTCGCGTCCCTGTGCTGGGGGGCTTATAATTGGCATTAATCTTCCGCTCTCTCCCCTGGTCCGAGAAAATCCCTGTATAGCCTTGCCTAAAAGGCGAGGAAGGGGTGTTCTAGAAAAGTTCAAGCAGCAAGCTAGTTAAGGTAGCAAAAGATCTGTTTAGTCAACAAAAATAATATATATATATATATATATTTCTTAATTTTTAGTGTAAATCTATTTACAAAATTACAGATTATAATGGCTACTTTTCCTTACCATTAAAAGAAATATTTGCATAAACCATTTTTAATTTATATTTGTACCTTACATTGAACTATCCTTTGTATGATATAATATTTGTAAAAAAGGTATAATTGAATAAATATATAAAACATTTGAAAGAAAAGGGTATAATAGAACACATAATAACAGAAACAAAAAATAAATTAAAAATTCCTAAGTTAACATAATATGTAATTATCCATATGTCCATGTATGGCTAATCCTTAAATGAGGAATATTTTATATTCTAGTATTAAAACTGGCATTTGATCAGCCATAAAATATTGATTTAGCTTTTGAAGAACTAATTGGGGTAGGCTGATCTGCCTGTTGCTTAAATTTTTAATATTAATAATATATTAGAAACTCCTGTAACACCTCTTTGTTTTTATTTCATAATTATCATCCTCTGCTTATAAAGTACATTGTCGGTTGAATCTCTCACAGAGTTCTGACCACATGGCATTAGCAATCAGCCTCATATATGAACTAGGATGTTCCTACAGGATAATAAATAATCCTATTATTTATCATATATTTTTCTTATTCATCTTACTTATCTTCCACTTTTGGCTCTTTTCCATATCTATACCTCAATTTTGTTTATTGCTTTACATTTACTCATTGTATCTATCGATCTTATTCTCTTAATATTTAAATTAATTTCTATCTAGGAAATGTTTCAATATATTTCACATTGCTACCTATAAATATAAGTTATTGGTATTTCTTATTACTATTTCATAAGTTCTTAACTTTTTTTCTGTCATTTTGTATGCCCTACCTTTGCTACCATTATAAGTCCCAGCTTTGCTACCATTACTTTATAACTTCCTAAATTGATATATTGTATACTTTTCATTCCATATATTTATTAATGATAAGTTTAGCTACCTGCATGTTATTTTATCGACATATTATTATCATTACTGTCCACAATTTTCTAAGTATTCATTTGTTATCTGGTCTTTGCTTAGCCCTGATGAAGGCCTAAAACTTAGGCTGAAATGTTGGAACAAATGAAGTAAATATAATTTATTTTTGTGTACTTCTAGTGACTGTAATCTCCAATAAACTTCTCTTATAATAATCAAAAGTTAACAATTTCTCCACCATTGTAATTATTATTTGATATTTGTGATATCGGTGTTATGGGTTCAATAAGTATCTAATTCAATATACAGTGATGGAAAAAAGTATTTGCACATCAATTTTTTTATAAATAAATGAGTTCAAGGAACCAAAAAACTTCGCTTTCCTCTGCAAAAATGAAAAGTACATTTGTCAAAAACTGAGAAACACCTTTTGGAAAAAAATGACAACACTTCATAATGAAACAAAAAAAATTAAAACAATAAAAGTGCTTGGAAAAAAGTATTTGCACACTATGACTCACAAGCTCTGTTTACTTTGGTATTAATTCTCCTGTGTCCATAGGTCATAGGTTTGTTTACTAATTTATCTTTCATCGTTTATTACCAGTATTCTCTAGTCTTTCAAACAGTTTCCTTTAGTCAATGGACAATTATCATGCCAAAGACAAGTGAACTGTGTGGCGCAACTCGCGAAAGAATTGTTTTACTGAGGAGTCAGCAAAAAACATATCGCCAAATTGCCGATTTCTTAGGGTTCAATTTTTCTACAGTGAGATACGTCATAAAAAGCTATGAAGAACGCTGTTCAACTGAAAACAGTGAGTGTATAGGGCGTCCAAATAAGTTAACTCTCAGGCTGAAGAGGAAAATCAGAAAAGAAGCTCTTAAAAATCCTCTGATAAGTTCTCGGAAGCTGGCTACCATGGTCCAATCAACGTCTGGAGATCAGATTACTGGCAGAATAATTAGATATGCCCTGAATTCGGAAGGGCTCCAAGGCAGAGTTCCAAGAAAGAAGCCATACATCAGTGAAACGAATCGCAAAAAGTCCCTTGCTTTTGCTAGGGAGTAGGTACAGAAACCCTTAAGCTTTTGGGAAAATGTCATCTTTTCTGACGAAAGCTTATTTAATTTGTTTGGTTCAGATGGTCCAAGGACGATATGGCGACATCGTAATGAAGCCCTAAAGAAGGAAAATGTTTTAACAACTGTAAAGCATGGTTTGGAGGTGTGTTTCCTACCATGGCCTGGAAAATCTTGTGAGCATCGAAGGCATTTTAAATGCGGAAGGCTATGTGAACATTTTGCGACGAAATTTGCGGGTCAGTGCCGAAAAAATGGGAATCCAGGATCAGTACTATTTCCAGCAGGACAACGATCCAAAACATACTGCGAGGAGAGCAAAGGAGTGGTTTATATTTAATGTTCCAAGACAGCTCCACATTCCTCCTCAGTCACCAGATATAAATATCGTTGAAAATTTATGGCACACCCTTGACCAAAATGTAAAAGAAAACACCACATCACTAGTGGACATCACCTTAAACAACTTCTTGTACAAGAATGGGAACAAATAAACGTAGATTTAATTAAAAACCTAGTGCATTCAATGCCCTGACGTCTATAAGTAATTATTGACGCAAATGGCCTATTTACAAAATATTAAAACTATTAAAATTTAAAATAAACTTGTAAAAGTGGAAGTGTGCAAATACTTTTTTCCAAGCACTTTTATGGTTTTAGTTATTATGTTTGATTATGAAGTGTTTTTATTTTTTTGTAAAAAGTTTTTTTCAGTTTTTAATAAATTTTATTTTCATTTTTGCAAAGGAAAGAGAAGTTTTTTGTTTCCTTGAACTACTTTATTCTTAAAAACGTGTTGTGCAAATACTTTTTTCCATCACTGTAGAAGTATCGATACAATGAGTCGACATCGTTATCGATAAAGTATATCGGAATTTGTCCGACATCGTACAGCCCAAGACATACTTAAAATAAAAACAATATCTTTTTCAGCGAGGTAAAGTGTTTTACATGGAATTTATTTCTATTTAATATCTTCAATAATTAATCTGTACATTTGAATTAGACTTTATATCTTAATTACATATATATTTGGTTTGTTGAGTTGTATAACCTGCTTTGAATCTGCCATACTGTTGTCTTTTTAACTGTGCTGCTACTGCACGTGGCGTCGAGATTAAGAAGAAATTCTTAATTTTACGTTTTGTAGTCGTATTTCTACTAGTTTACAACTCTTCATTAGGGGCTGCGATATTGGTAGGTGTGGATTTATCGTATTTTCTCTATATTTAATTGCATATTCACTTTGTTTATCATATACCATGCTGTTACAGTTTAGATGTTCTGGCCATGATGATTGTAGTGTTCTTTATTCCTAAGCTGAATTGTGAATTTTAACCCCAAAATGCCGTTTTCAAAATATTAATGTTCGGTATTATGGAATTCTTCATAGGATTCTTTTATTAGATGCTTGAATTTGCAATTTTACTTTATACCATTGATTTGAGCATGTATCATTTAAGTGATTATTTTATGGATTGCCTAGGCAATGTACTTTTTCTATCATAATGTGCTAGTCTGTTATTTGACAGAATGACTATTTTATTGATTCATAATTTCGGCAATTCATTGCAATAGATGTAAATTATTGCAAATTATAACTGAAAAGGATAAGGACATTAGATTGTAATATACGTGTTATATGTTAATTTGTTTTGTTCCATAAACATTATTTTAAATTCTGTTTAATAGTTGAGTGATAATCTGGCATGTAATCTATGCATCAGATAACTTTGTTTTTAGTTAAAATTTGCCCTTATTATCTAGCAGATATACCATATTAGATGTTTGTTTATTGATGTATTCCTTTTGGGAAACTATTGAAGTGTTACTTGCTTCTTTCTTATTATGATTCTGTGATTACCTTTAAGTTTGCTATTTAGGTAATGGAAACAAAAATTTTAGATAAGCAGTTTTCACTTTGACTGTATACCTTAGATAGCTTCTTTTCTACTTTAAAATGAAACCTACCGAGACTCGTGCTTTTGTATCTGTTGTATTTATGACAATTTCTTGATTATATCATCTGGTAATCTTAGTCATAGTGAAAACATTTGAGTGTTGTTTTTATAGTTTATCATTAATGTGGTTTTTGGCTATTACAAGGTAAATCTGAACCATTTGATTATAAAATTATAATCTACATGTA